GAGGAGGACCTGGTGATGGAAAAGGAGCTAGAGGCTCAAGCTCCAAAGCCACAACCAGTAGTGATTGAATATAAGCCTAAGCTTCCTTTCCCACCAGGATGTAAAAAGACAGGTTCGAGGTAGAGTTCGCAATTTCTTGTCCATGCTTAGGAAGCTGAATGTTCAAGTGCCATTCATGGAGGCACTATCTCATATGCCTAAGTATGCGAAGTTCTTGAAGGAGCTTCTCTCAAAGAAGCGAGGCTGAGCGAGCTGGCCATTGTGGAGCTCAGCGAGGAGTGCTCGGCCATTCTGCAGAACAAGCTTCCGCCGAAGCAGAAGGACCTAGGTAGTTTTACTATCCCGTGCTCTATTAGTAAATTGCATGTAGAGAGGTCCTTGGCGGATCTAGGTGCTAGTATTAATGTGATACCATATAAATTGTTCAAGAAACTAGGCCTATGTGAACCCAGTGCAACGAGGATGAGTATTCAATTAGCTGACCGATCTGTAGTCCATCCTAGGGGCATAGTGGAAGACCTTCTGGTTAAGATTGGCAGATTCTTTTATCCTGTGGATTTTGTTGTCTTGAACATCAATGAAGACACAGAAGTGCCCCTAATACTGGGAAGGCCTTTCCTGGCCACCGCCAAGGCTCTCATAGATGTACATGATGGGACCTTAGTCTTGAGAGATGGCGAGGAGCATATAGCATTTTCCATTGCTAATACTCTCCTCCTTCTTCTCCTTCTCATCTCTTTCCTTCGACTTCTCTCTCTTTTCTCTCTCTAGAACCAGAAAGTTTCTCTAAAGATCAGCTCTTTTCAAAAGGGGTCTTGTATTTATAGTCATTCTGGATTCGGGAAAGTTTCGGTCTGAGGTAAAGAGATCGCGGGCGGGATCTTTGGTATCTGGGTCGTGATTTCAAAATGCATACGTCGAGGCCTTGGGAAGGGGAAGATCGCGGGCTGACTTAGCGGTCGCGATCCATTGGTCGCAGCCGCGATCTTCCTCGTAAGCAAGATGAACACTGGCCATGACTTGACTGAGGAGACTCTATGTTTCTCCAAGGCTCCTTCCTCACAAAGTTCGCGTCCTGAGCCTCCAAGATCACGGTCGCGATCTATGGCTTCTGGGCCGCAATCTACAACTGGACTTCGTGGCTTGCAATCTCGGTCATGATCTTCGGCTTCTAAGCCACGATATTCAATTCCTGCCCCTTCTCACACTTGTGACCTTATTTTGTAGCTAATTCTCACATATCGACAAATACACCCTAAAATCACATTGAAAACAAATAGGAACGCAATAGGGATGCATTTGACAATGTTCAAGCATTTAAGCACATGCATTGGCATAAAACACACCTAGATATGTAGGGTTAATAAAACCAATTTTGGTGTTATCAGCTACTACCCCATGAAAGGGGGGAGGAGAGCCATGGAAAGAATTGAAGAAAACATGAATAGAGGCTCCTTCTAGTGCAGAAAAACTCCCCCTTCAGCTTCTCCTTCTCCCCTTCTTCTCCTCTTTCTCTCTAAGGCAACATCTTCTCTAGTTCTGTAACACCCCGATATTTTGGTTCTAGGTTCGACCGAACGGTTTAATCGACATTTACGTACAAAGGGTTGGAATCGTAAATTTGAAATAATAATAACATTAATAACTAATGTTATTATTGCTATTATTATCATCAATCCTAATAATCACCATCACCCACCATCAACCGCCATTTTCCCCATAAGAATCAACGACACATAATTATGATGATTATTAAAATAATCTTCTTTTTTCTCCCCCACAACTCGTATTCCCCACTAACCCCATTCGTTTCCCCATTTAATTCCCGCCGTTACTCCCACACGGCTCTGCTTCTTCCTTTTAAATTCTGCCCTAACGTAAACCAAAAAGATACGGAAACAAAGAAGGAACCTAGTCACTAGAGTGTTTTGGCAGCGGATCCCGACGATCACTAGTGAAAGGGAGGAGGCAGTGACGTGGACATCGTTGTTCCTCCGCCGATCGGTCAACCCTTCCCAACTCGTAGGAATCACTTCCCCGAAGGTAAGAACATTAAGCTCAGCTCCTTCTAAACTGAATAACCCGTTAAGCTAATCCTCGAATCGTGGTCCCTGAGCGTAGACAACGACAAGGCGTAGGGATATCGCCAAGAAGTACATCAGTGACACCGACGTAATCAAATTCAACCAAGCTTCAAAACCTTGGTACCATGACAAAGTGGACGATCTCAGGAACACCCCGGTTTTGACGGAATTGAATTTCGACGTCGACGAGAGAGATACGAGTCCCGAGAGTTTGGGGTGCAAATCGGATAGTTCAGGTACCCTCTATGTCTATTCGAAAAACACAAGGATTGTTTAGAACATTCTGTTGCAGTTTGCAAGAAAATATCCAAAATAGTCCCCCATATTATTGTTTCGACAGCTTAGTCCCTATTGTTTTGGAAATTGATAATGTGCCAAAAATAGTATTTTATTAAGATTATTATTATTATTTTAGTTGATCTACAGTATCTAATTTCATGGTGTGATAATTTTTTAAATAGTAAACAATTAAGAATATGTTTGGGTATTAATCTGAGATTTTTTAGAGTTGTTTTACAATTTCTAAAATAGATAGAAAGATGTTTATAAGTAAATAAATTACTGTGCAAGAAATTTTAGTACATTTGAAAATTTTAATAGAAATAAGATACTAGCATGATTATCTAGGATATTTGATGATTTATAGAGTCGATTTGACAATTTGAAAAATTGATAAGATTTTGGTTTTAATCGATTAAATTACTGATCATGTGTATTTTGTTAATTTGTTAATTTTGTGAAAAACTTTAATACATTTAGTACATTATAAAATTTAGAAACGGAAATTCATACATTGTAAATATATTTGTAAAATTCGTTTTTGAGAAAATTAAATAGGAAGAAGGGATTAATTCAGATGTAAATTATAGTCAATAATTTGTCATCATATTTTGAGTTATTCCAATTCACAATTTGTAGTTTTTAAGAGGAAAAATATTTTTTTGGAAATTTATGAAATTTAATTAGGGGATTTTGAGTTGATAGTAATAATTCAAGTCTCGGAAATTTTGGGGAAAATTTCCAGTTTTTTTTTAGAAAATAATGTAAAGAGGTTCATGGCCCTTTTTAAAGAATTTTGGGACTAAGCTGGGAGGACGAAAAATTTTACGAAGTACCGCCTAATGGTAATCAATCTCTATTTATAGGATTAAGAAAGCGATCAAGTTAGGGATTCCACGTTCAACGAGTTAAAGTATCGGCACTTAAGAGGTGAATGTAAAGGGGGTAAATTCTACGCCTTACATGTTCAAGTATTTGCTTTACGTGAAGCATGTGTGCACTGTTTGATTTATGATTGTGTTGATAATGCATGCTTCGATTTGAGTTATTGTTTTGAGCATTTCAATATCTACGTTTAAGAATTTAAGTTTACGTTATTGCAACGTTTAAGAACGAGTATTTTTAATGCTTCATCGTTTACTAAGTTATGGCGTTAAGAGTAAGACAAAATCACGAGTAAAGATAGGCAACCTCGCTTAGCTAGCCACCAGCTACACAGACCCCTACCGGACGGTGATAAGTTCCGCGGTAGTTGATCACTACCGGATGGTGATACGTTCCGCGGTAGTTGGTCAGGCATGGAGCCGCACGGTGATGAGTTCTGCGGTTTCCATTGCTTAGATTTAGGTGTGCTACCAGATGGTGATACGTTTTGCGGTAGTCACACCGTAGTTTGACACCGGATGGTGATTCGTTCCGCGGTGGTCAATCCCATTTGAGGGGCACCCCATTGTGAGGGTAGTCATGATTAAGAAAGTAAGTAAGGCTAGAGTGGCGCTAGCTAAGTCGAGGTAGGGGCCCCAAAGTAAGCTAAAGGATGAAATAATACATTTTGCAAGAGTTAAAGTTTGAAAGGCGAGAGTAGAAATCATTTCCAAAAGTTTGTTGTGAGCTTCTAAATAATAACCTTAGGCGTTTCAAGTTTAAGTAGGGCGTAGACTGGCCCCAATTCACTCACCAGATCGTAGAGGAGGAGATCGTAACCAGACAGTTCGTGACCAACAAGTTAGAGGAGTTCTGCACTAGCGTCGTTGAGAAATTTCGGGTGTTTTGTAGGTTCTTATATTCTAAAATGAGGGGAGAAACCCTCTATTTATAGAAATCTGGAAGGATATGTAGGTTCGCGGCTGAACTTCATGAGATCACAGATGCGATCTTTGTCATCGAGCCATGAAGTTGAAAAGACAGTGTGCTCGGTTACTCAGATTAGGAGATCGCGACCTTGACTTACCGATCATGAACTAGAAGTTGAGGCCTTGACTTTGGCGGCAAACTGGAAGTCGCAGCCTTGACTTTGCGGTCACGAGCTAGAGTCGCGACCATGATCTTTCTCACATTCTCGATCTTAAAGGCCCATGAGGTGGAATGTGATACCTTTGTTGCTCTTGAATTCACGCCAACTTAGCGCCTTGGTCGTGATATCTTCTTGGCCAATGAATTCTCGGCCGTGAACTCTACTCCCTGGCCGTGATCTTCTATATTCACCATTTTAGCATGTGTAACACCCTGACATTTGAGCTCAGGTTCGATCATATGATAAATTATCGATTGGATAGACGATTACGTACGAATGGTTACAATTGCGAATTAGAAATAATAATAATAATAATAATAATAATAATAATAACATATTATTATTATTAGTAAAACAAAACAACAACAACAAAAAAACAAAAAACCACCCCACCCCACGTCACCCCCACCCCATTTGTACACCACCCCACCTCTCCCTCTCTTTACCGTTACCTTCCAATTAATCCCCACCCTTTCCAAGTATAATGGAATCGATCTCATTTATACCCATCCATCAACTCACCCGCCAACATCTCATTTACACACCATCCCTTATCTCGTGAACTCGTCAGAGCACCCCCATTCTCACTCATGTATAGATAATGGAAATAACAATTTCCATACTTCTCGCATAATACCTACATCTCCATGTGTAGTCCCCTGTCTTTTGTATAAGTCCAGTACAAGCTAGCTGATAGACCGTTAATTACACATGTTTTTACCCCTGTTCTTACACCGTTTGAGATGTGATTTCTCGTGGTTTAGACCGATTTCACGCTAGGTTGTGCTTGTTTGTGATGTTTCAGGTCCTAGTACGTGAATGAAGGCTTAGGAGCGAGTCTGGGGTCGATTGGACGAAGAACGAACGAATGGCGAGGTTTTTGGGGAGCTGCACGGGCAGACCAGGGAGGCTGCACGGCCATGCACGTGAGCAATATGGCCGTGCGCCTTATGCCGAGGACACGCACGGGCAACCCCTGAAGCTCGCACGGCCGTGCACCCTGGCCGTGCGAGAGGGCTGAAGTTCGACTAAATGACACGTTGCGTTTTGAGTTGCACGGCCAGAATGGTGATATGCACGGCCGTGCACCCTGGCCGTGCGAGTCGGGATTTCCTGGTTTTAAGCCAAATTCCGAACCAAAGAGGAGAGAGAGCTGGGTTTTGGATCCCAAACACCCAAGGGACGAACCCTAGAGAGAGAGGGCGATTTGAGGGCATTCTTGGAGTAGAGAAGGAGGATTTCTTCGCCTTGGAAGCTCGAGGAACAAGCCCGGACTTGAAGACTGATCATCTGAAGATTCTTACTGCAGTCTCTCTCTTCTCTATGGAGTAACTTACCTTCACTTAGGTTTTGAGGAACCCTAGCTATGTTAGTTTGATTGGATGATTGTATGAGTACTCTGACTTGATAATCTTGAGTTCATATTCAATCTATGCATGTTTTCATGATTCAATTCTGCTTTAGTCGAGATTATTGATTCTGCTTTGATTCTATGAGAGGGAATACCTGATTAGGTCAATAGAGCACCATAGATTGATAGTAGTGGATCGATTGCTTTAGTCGAGGGTTGATTCACTGCTTTGTATCGATTGAGAACCTCTTTCGATAGAGGGAGTCTAGTTTAGAACGCCTTGATCAGTTGTTCTAGAGAAGGATACGTCCCTCTAGGCAATTGACTCAAGAGGGCCTTGTTCCTTTAGTCGAGACTCAAGGTCTAGTCAAGGATTCTCCGCATTGTGAATGAAAGTGAAACAGGTTAGAGATCATCAATCATTAATCTGGCTAGTGGCTAGGGGGAATCATACCTAAGTGAGTTCCCAACCTGTAATTAGATTAACTTTAACTGTAGTTTGCTAGAGTAGTTTTAGTTCTTTCATCTTAATCTGATTTGCTAAATAATAAACTGAAGCTGAGTAATAGTAACTCTAGAGACCCGTGGATTCGATATTTATCACTTGAGCCACTATACTGCAGTCCCTTTCATTGGTTACACTTGGCCTTTGTTAGGTGTTGTGTCGTAGCGAGTCAAGTTTTTGGCGCCGTTGCCGGGGACTTTCTAGAGTATTAGGAAAGGCAGAAGTTTGTTACTTTAGAGTTTTTCTTTTCTTTTCTTTTCCACCCTTGCTTTTCACTTGGGTGTTATTGTTTTTGTTGGTGCAGATCTGAATCATGGATCCTAATGGCTTCTCCAATCATTGGGGGTATCCACCACCATCTGGGTGGTATTACCCCGAGACTCCGTGGAGCAATCAAGGCGGAGAAGACTATGGATTCGGGTTCCAGTACCAACCCCCTTACTACGGAGAACAACCGGACCCCTGGGCATATCAAGAACAACCTCATTATCAAGAAGAATTTCTCCCACAACCAGAAGGGCCATCGGCACTAGAGTTACTCATGGAGCAGTATGCTCGAGACTGTGAGAGAACATGCTCCAGGATGGATCAGTGTGTCCAGGCCTATCGTGAAACAGATGAGATCCTCTTGAGCCTTAAGAAGAGCGTCGATGATCTTGAGCGATCTTGGGCGCAACCTGCTCCAGATCACCCTTCTGCTACCATACAAGAAAAGGAGGAGGAAGAAGAAGGCTACAAGGGCATTGTGGAACACACTGAAGTTGTCACGGAGAGCTCCCGTGATGATCATGATCAGGCCTGTCATGTCGTAGCCGACCACACCTTCCCACACCCCAAACTGAGCTTTGAAGAGGCGGGCATGAGTGAGGAGATGCAAGAAGATCTCATGAAAGAAATTGCTTGGCAACTTGCTCTCCAATCCGTGCTAGAAGAAGAAGAGCAAGAAAGGGTGCAGAAAGAAGTTGTGGAGGATGACGAAAGTGAAGCTGGAGGAGTTCTTGATCATTTCCCAGGGGTGATACCACATGAAGAAGGAAGGGAGGTTGAAGAGGCGATTGGCGTCCAGGCTGAGGACGAAGTTGAGGTGGAAGAGGCTTGCACCGGCCATGAGTTACATGTGATATCTCCACCAAACTTCGAGGAACTGCTTAGCAAGGACCCATTTGCAGTGTCTCTTTGCCAGACCAAGGCCACATCGACATCGGTCCCTCTTGGTGGACGCGATGGTGGCCAATCGATGCTGTCTTATCTGGTTTGGGGCAATGAGACGAGAGAAGAGAAGAAGAGGTCTCGAGGGTGGAGACTTCATCTGCATCAAGTACATGAGCCTTCATCACCTGCCACACCACATGCTCGTGACTTGAGACTCCACCTCATCAACGAGAACCTCAACTTCAAGGAGGTTCTAGCATGGACCGAAACTTAGGAGCCATCGTCCGGCTCACGACGTGAAAGAAGCGCTTGTTGGGAGGCAACCCAACCAGTCGGTTTGCATTTCTGTCTCTATTTCTCCTCGGTTGAGTCAGTTTGCTATTTGATTTTAGAGTCAATAACTCAACCTTTGTGAGATTTTGTGTGGTGTTTGTGTTCTGATTACTCTCTCTTCCTGGACTGCACTGCCTGACCCGTACATCATCATTCACCCTTGATCTGGTAACTTCGTTCAACCCTCCTTATCTTTCCTCCATTGAGGACAATGTCGTGCTTAAGTGTGGGGGGTGTTCGATTATGTATGCGGGTGAATGTTTGGCTGTTTGTGTGCTTGGAGCCTAGTCCACTGTCCAAATTTTTAAATTTGAGGGCTCCAAGTACGTGTTTCCTTGCAATTGCCTGCTCAGTATGCTTTGAATTGACAGTCTTTATAGTGATATGCAACCTAGGGAGGTAGTGTAGCACTATGGAGGATGTTGATGCATTTAAGGAGTCTCATTTCTTCTTCATATTGTGTTGGTTGATTGAGTGAATTAGTGATCTTAGGACCCTTGAATTGTGTAGTGTTGTGGATTTTCTACCTGTCATGGACTCTTGTATCATGTTTTGAAAATAACAGGTGCTCGAAAATGTGCTTCAAAATAAACGTCTCCCGTGCGAATAGGGCGAAAGAGTGTAAGGGGAGACGGGAATTCGTTCCCAATTCCCACCTACTACCTCCAGCCCCCTTACATGTCTTTCCCCCGCACGAGGCTCGAGACATCCGCTCCTGGCATGGCCGGTAAGAGCAGGTTGGGACCCTTGAAAAAGAAAAGAAAAGAAAAATATCAGAAAACAAGCAAAACAGGAAAAAAAAGGGGTCTCAATCATCTTCAAGAAGAAAATAGAGCACCTTGAAAAATGTGAGTCCATGATCCTTTGTTTTTGAGAATCTCTTCATCCACAATCCATTTGTCCTCTGTTCACTATTTGCCATTATGCCGACTCGCCGAAGAAGTTATGAGATGACTTGTGCGTCGGTTGACCTCGTAAGCTGCTAAATGATCTAGGAAGTCCTCTACCTACGATCTGGGTTGTTTGTTGCTATAGAGGTCCGGAGAGTTGCATTGGTTTGAGTTAGGTTTGCTTGGGGACAAGCAAACGGTTAAGTGTGGGGGAGTTTGATAGACCGTTAATTACACATGTTTTTACCCCTGTTCTTACACCGTTTGAGATGTGATTTCTCGTGGTTTAGACCGATTTCACGCTAGGTTGTGCTTGTTTGTGATGTTTCAGGTCCTAGTACGTGAATGAAGGCTTAGGAGCGAGTCTGGGGTCGATTGGACGAAGAACGGACGAATGGCGAGGTTTTTGGGGAGCTGCACGGGCAGACCAGGGAGGCTGCACGGCCATGCACGTGAGCAATATGGCCGTGCGCCTTATGCCGAGGACACGCACGGGCAACCCCTGAAGCTCGCACGGCCGTGCACCCTGGCCGTGCGAGAGGGCTGAAGTTCAACTAAATGACACGCTGCGTTTTGAGTTGCACGGCCAGAATGGTGATATGCACGGCCGTGCACCCTGGCCGTGCGAGTCGGGATTTCCTGGTTTTAAGCCAAATTCCGAACCAAAGAGGAGAGAGAGCTGGGTTTTGGATCCCAAACACCCAAGGGACGAACCCTAGAGAGAGAGGGAGATTTGAGGGCATTCTTGGAGTAGAGAAGGAGGATTTCTTCGCCTTGGAAGCTCGAGGAACAAGCCCGGACTTGAAGACTGATCATCTGAAGATTCTTACTGCAGTCTCTCTCTTCTCTATGGAGTAACTTCCCTTCACTTAGGTTTTGAGGAACCCTAGCTATGTTAGTTTGATTGGATGATTGTATGAGTACTCTGACTTGATAATCTTGAGTTCATATTCAATCTATGCATGTTTTCATGATTCAATTCTGCTTTAGTCGAGATTATTGATTCTGCTTTGATTCTATGAGAGGGAATACCTGATTAGGTCAATAGAGCACCATAGATTGATAGTAGTGGATCGATTGCTTTAGTCGAGGGTTGATTCACTGCTTTGTATCGATTGAGAACCTCTTTCGATAGAGGGAGTCTAGTTTAGAACGCCTTGATCAGTTGTTCTAGAGAAGGATACGTCCCTCTAGGCAATTGACTCAAGAGGGCCTTGTTCCTTTAGTCGAGACTCAAGGTCTAGTCAAGGATTCTCCGCATTGTGAATGAAAGTGAAACAGGTTAGAGATCATCAATCATTAATCTGGCTAGTGGCTAGGGGGAATCATACCTAAGTGAGTTCCCAACCTGTAATTAGATTAACTTTAACTGTAGTTTGCTAGAGTAGTTTTAGTTCTTTCATCTTAATCTGATTTGCTAAATAATAAACTGAAGCTGAGTAATAGTAACTCTAGAGACCCGTGGATTCGATAGTTATCACTTGAGCCACTATACTGCAGTCCCTTTCATTGGTTACACTTGGCCTTTGTTAGGTGTTGTGTCGTAGCGAGTCACTAGCATACAAGTCAATAATTTTCATAAACACAAGAGGAACTCATCAACCACTCCACTATCAATTCCATTCTCCCATTCTTGGTTTCCATATCACCTCCTTTTCCCCATGTGCCCGGACTGTAAACAAATAAGCACAAGCCTTCTGTCTGGTTCCTTTTCCCCTCGCATAAAGACCCGGCTGGTGGAGAAAAGAAGCTCTCCGTAAGCTTTCCTCGACCAAAGGCAGCAGCGTCGGCCCCTCGACCGGGAACGCCACCGGGAATCCCCTGGTCGCGTCGATTCCGCCAAAACCCACGACCAGAAGCTCTTCTTTGCACTCCAGTGGGTAAGGGTCTCGATCCCAATCGAACTCCGAGCTTAGTTTAAACAGCAAATAACCCCAACTCATGTATGTATCCTCATAGTTTGACGACAACATCGCGATGGACTTGAACGACGTTCAACGAAGGGGAAACGACATTCCAAGCCAGAAAATCTAGCTTTAGGCTCGTTCTGGAGGTAAGGAGTTCGACCTCATCGATTAAAGCCGAGTTATGAGTTGTTCTATACGTATATACGTTGTTGTTTTTTAACGACAAATATTGCAGTCTTTTAGTAACGAAATAGATTTAGTCGCTAAAGACTGTTGAGCAATTTTCCAGATCAGTCCCACAACGTGTTCAGTATATACAGCTTAGTCCCTCAGAGTTTTAATTTTTGATAATTTGGCCCGAAAATCGTATTTTTCATGGTTATGTTAATTTCCGACACTTTTCCGTGGATATTTTCATAATATGATAATTTTATAAATTTGAGAATATTTGTGTGATTCTCGTGTATAAATTTTAGAATTTTTGGATCTGTATTTGTAATTATAAAAATCGAACGAATGTCAGTTTTAATTAATTAAAATCATGTACGAAGTCGTTTTGGTGATTTGATAATTTTCCATGAAACTAGAATTATTTATAGATGTTATAAAATTATTAATCAGAATTATTAGTTTTCTTTACTTGGTTTAAAAATTATATATGATTAATTTTAATAAGAAAAAGAGGTTATTTAAAAGAGGGGCTTATGTTTATTAATTGGGATTAATGATTTGAGTTAACCAAGGTCAGAATGTGGAGTCTTAAGTGGAAAATATATTTTTCGAAATTTATGAGAATTGTATGAGAATTATTTTAAGAAATATTGAATTGCTTGAGATGATTTAATTCTTGATTAAAGAGGTTGAAAAGTTTAGTTTTGAAGAAATGATTTAAAAGAGATTGAGGGTCATATTTAAACGATTTTGGGACTAAGTAATCAATGAGGGAAATTTTCCCAATGCGTTAAAAGGGACTAAATCTAAGGATTACCAACTAAGGGAAGATTATTTCAGTTTATAGGATTGAGGAAGCGATCGGATTAAGGATTTCACGTCAAGGGAACTAAGAATTGTCATTTGAGAGGTGAGTGGTTTAAGGGGGTAAATTCTACGCCTTACTTATTTTCAAGTATTTGACTTACGAGTTTTAAGTAAATGTGTTTATGTGAATTGTATACCAGTGAATAATTTATGTCGTGATTGATAAAGCAAGTTATATTTGATATATTATCTGAGATGCTCTATTTGAGTTATGATTGTGAAGTGTATGATTATTTGAGCTTTCGGTATTTACTTGATGCTTTTATATTTATGTTTATTTAATGAAGGTTGCTTGATCTTTAAGGATCAACATTTAAAAGGTATTTCACTCCTAATTAAATTAGGGTGAAAAGATTTAAAGGTAGTTCACTAACGCCAGTCCCCCGCCCTAGTGTAAGTTTAAAGGAAGAGCAATTGTTTGCTCTTAAGGAACATGTGGGTGAATCACTTAGACATCACATGAAGTTTAAAGGAAGAGTATGATATACTCTTAAGGTTTATGGGGTTGAATCGATTACTCCCATAAAAAGGTTTAAGGAAAGGTCTTTATTGGCCCTCATACGTATGAGCTGGGCGGCTGGACTAGTTAGTGAGGGGATCCCAGTGTCGGTCAAAGGTTTACGATTTTGAGGGTGGCGAGTAACAACAACTCCCACGTTTCTTTTTAAAGCGTTAAAGTATTAAAGGGTGGAAGTATAAATAACTTCCACAAGTTTTGAGGCGAACACTTAGGGGAAGCACCCGTAAGTGCTTCAAATTTAAGTAATGGCGTAGACTGACCCCAACCCACTCACTAGGTCGTAGAGGAGGAGCTAGGGAGCATCCAGTCGAGGAGCATCCAGTGAGAGAGCAGGCTACTAGAGGAGGACCACGTGAACACTTCTGAAGATGTCTGACCACGGATCGGAGTAAGCATCATTTGTAATCATTAGTTATTTGCTTTATGATTATGAGTAATGACTGGAAAAATTTTAAAAGAATAAGACTTTATGGATTGAGGTTTGCCCAAATGTTAGGGCTTTGCTTTTAAATTATAAGGTGTATTTTCAGTATTGGTATTTCGAGCACATTATTGTTTCTTTCTTTCAAAATTTTTAATATGCTCCGGAGCAAAATTGTTATTTAAGGGTTTTAGAGATCGGGATGTGACAGCATGTTTTCCTACAATTGAGTAGTTGAGCTTGATTTCTTGATATGATCCCAAATTGCTTGACCTTTAAGCTTCCATTAATTGAACAAAAGGCAAGATCATTAAGCCATAAAGAACCACTATTTGCTAAGTGTTTTTGGTGTTGCAGGGAACCCACTTTGGAGGCTCGGATCACTCAAGTCATGCGATGAAAATGAGAGTTTAATAGCTTGTTTTGAAGATAAGAACTTTATCTACATGATGGTATGCTTGGTTGATCAAGGAGAAGCTTAGAAGGCTATTGTCGAAGCTCACCAACATGCTAGCTCAGAATCGAGAAACTGCCTATTTTTGGCTAAGACATGTGTCGAGTTCAAGGTGTCATCTTCGGAGCTTGATAACTGGAGATGGGGACACATCCAGCTGATGATTCAATTTTCAATAGAAGGTAGAACACTTTCTAAACCCAGGGAAGGCATTGGGTGAGCTTGGATCGACCTGGAAGACCATGTTCGAGGGTCTCGAAGAAGCTACCTTGAGACTAGCGTTCTGACTCGCACGAAACTACACCACAAATTAATCCCGACTAGAGCCCAAGTTTTTAAACTCTAGCCGGGTGCAGTATAGAGCAAGTATTTAAATTGTCAACCCGGGCCGATCCATGTGCCCCTACTTCAATTGCTTAGGTTGTTATCTAGCAAGCAACTTTTGGGTTTATAACTAATGGAACTACAAACTAAACTAGCAAGGAAAAGTAAATAAAGGAAAAGTCTAACTAAGGGAGCTTCACCCAGGAATTGTTTCCCCTAACTAGCTACCATGACTAGTTGGATTGAATGAAGTTGTGAGGCGTAGGTGGTTGTGAACCTCGGGGGTGAGCAACTAGTGATCAATCTGTCATGGCATCAATTCACTAGCGATCGATTTGTCACAAGGTCGATCCACTCACCAGATCTAGGGGAACCACTAGGAGGAGAAACTAGTGACCCATTTGTCACGAGATGGGTTCACTGGTGGTCGATTTGTCACGGGATCGATCCTTTCACTCAGTCACTAGTGGTTGCCTAGGTCTTTCCCTCAAACCGGAGTTTGAGAGGCTTAATCACAACCAACCTAGATGCAAACTAGTAACCGCGAACCGCAGAGGGATGCATATGTGGTCGGAGACCACAATCTCAATTGCTAAACCGAGGTAAGCATGAAAGGCTGTGTCACTCGACCTTCTCGGTTTAGAAAATCGGTAGTTGACTTACTCCCTCACTTAACTATAAGCTCGCACGCCTTAATCACGATTAATCAACTTGCTTAACTCAATATTGAGGGTTGCCCTCACTTAACCTCTTTTAGGTGGCTTAGAAAGCGGAAGGAAAACCAACTCGATTGAGTCTCCCTTGGAAGGGGGATTTTCCTCTCTAAACTAGGCTAAGGTGGCTAATTAGATTGTTAGCACCAATATGCACAAACCTAAGGATGCTAAGCACAATTAAGCACAACCCTTAGATTGCTAAGCACGAGCATGCACAATCACCATAAAAACACCTCTAATACTCAAAGTGATGCAACCCCACACTTAATCATTCCATCTAAACAAATAATTACAAAGTATTAGTTAGGGATCTACAACACCCAAGAGAAAAGAGTGGGTTTCTAAAGAGAGAGAGAGGGGTTACAAATTTGAGCTCAAGATCTTCTTCTTCTTCTAGGCTTGAATCTTCCACCCAAGCCTCCAATGATGATCCAAGATCACTCCAGGACTCTCTCTCTCTCTCTCTCTCTCTCTCACTCACTAGAACTCCCCTTTGATGTTTAGGTTGAAACCCTAGAGAAAGAAAGTGTTTCTTTTCCAAAATCAAATCTCTTTTCTCTCTCCCTGCTGCTACCTTCATATTTGCCCGAGAGCGATCAGTTCACGGACGCGTTGGCCATTTCACGGCCGTGAACACCTAAACACATCCGTGAACTCAGCATCGTTCAAAACGCACCGCTTCACTGTCCTGGGTTCACGGTCAATGGCCACATTTCACGGTCTTAGAGACTGTGAACTGCCTTGTCGTCAGTAACTTCAGGAATCTAGTTGGACGCCTCGGTGTTCACGGTTTGGGGTCGAAGTTCACGGTATTAGGAGACCGTGAACTGCCTCGTCCGGACGTGAACTGCAATTGTTTCCTGGATGCCTTCAATTCACTACTACGGGGCAATTGTCATGGTCGCTTCAGACTTTTCTTCGATTTTTCCGCTTTTTGACCTCCAAATATCCCAAAACTCGTCCTCGACCCTTCCACACTTGCTAGGACCTGAAATGTATCAAAAACAAGCACAACCTAGCGTGGAATATGTCGAAGAACGATGAAATACTAAGCTAAACGAATAAGAAATGAGGGGTAAAATGTGTACTTTTGAGCCCGAATCAAGCTCCCACACTTAGACGTTTGCTTGTCCCCAAGCAAACCAAGTACAAAACAAGGTAAGCTTACAACTTCTTTTTCAACACAAATTTTGGGGCATGTCATAGGGCACAAAACGAATGAATCACAATGGTTATTTGACACCAACCTATGGACAAAAACAAAGTAATCTTGGCAACCACCACAAACGACATTCAACTATATTAAGATTGTGCAAAAGAAGAGTTCTCACATTATTCACGAACCCACACACAACATGCTTAGATGACTCACCAAACACAGTTACTCATGCATGAAGATCACATCATAGGAACGAACGATCGAGCAACCTAGGTCCTCACCGGGGTATACGTAATGAACAAAACTTGATGAATGAATCACTCACTCTCAACCAGTGGGGTCAGGACCATTTGATGCAAGAGGTGTGCATATTCACGCTCAATCCTAATGTCCCTTTATCATTATGGTAACCTCTAAATGTTAGAGTTCACAAGATGGGTGTCGTTGCTAGCTTTTCCGGAGGTCTTGGACACAGTTTCAAATGACTGGCTAGGGTCTAGGACATGGGGAAAATGCTTTTTTGGGCGGTGGCAAACAAAACAT